TATATATATATATATATCATCATGATTATATAATTTTTCATATACTTTTTGAGATAGGCCTTTGGTAAGCAAATTCAAGTGAAATCTAATGGCATCGTGACCCATTGAGGTAAGAGGTCGCCATAAGCCTGATTAACATCGTGTTACCTAGTCTGTTGGTTTTAAGCAATTCTCTATTTTTGCGTTTTGTCAAAGATATCCCTATTCTGCAAACCGAAGAATTTTAGGCAATTCTATTTCATATAAGTTGTTTGTTTCCCCTTGTCTTCGCAACTTTGTCGTTTTGTCAGAGCGACCTAGAAGGAGTCCCCTTGTCCGGAGTCCATAGTAGCCATGACAATTTTCAGAGATCGACCGTGGACTTGGTAGATTAGACAAAAAAGACAATATACGCTACTAAGAATAACGATGCAGACTGTAATGCCGACTAAACGTCTAGGAATGTATAAAGTCCACGGTCCCATTGAAAATTATCAGTCATACAATGAACCTCGTACAAGATGCATTCCCTTATGTCACCATGACAACACGACCAAATTGCGAAGACAAAGTCAAAAGACTTCTATGCAACGAAAGGAGTCCGCGAATATACCGAAAGCCACACCATTTTGGTCTTCATATCTTCACTATACTTCACTTAACTTCCCACTATTTCTATAGTTCACCCATTCTTATAGATCATGATAAAATGTGTTCGACTCTCTATCTCTCACAAAATAGTTATCATTCACAATCTTATTTCCTATAAAATTCATTTATCTTTAATTAAGTCTTATTATGTTAAGAGACTCCCCAAACACCAGTTTCTATACATCTTTACAAGCCATTTTTTTCTTTCAAATATTTTATTTTGTTGCAATAATTAAGAGCTAATGTCCTCTTGAGGTGTTTTGCTATTAATTAATTCTTAGGAGCATTTACTCTTATAAATATTTTTTTCTTATTTTGAAGACTTCAATTCAACACTCATCCTCCCTCTGTCCTAGTGACTTGCAGATAATCTACTACAATTTATATTAATTTCGGGTCAAGATGAGTACAATTGAATCCCTAAATATCTTTGCCCTGATTAGACGCTAGTGGGCAACGCCTTCTTCTTTGTGATTAGTTCATCTTTGAGGTCAGCGAAACGTCCTCATCAAAAGGGGAAAACCCACCTGGGAAATGGCAGAAGTCAGCATCACTCTCCCGCAGAGCATCAGACTAATCGAGATGTGTTGCATGCAGTAGGAAAACAGCTCCAGTCTTGCATAAAAAGCTAGTTATAGGCAGATAGTGTCTTTGTACAAACCTTAAGATTTCCACGTTTTTTCGCCTTAAAAATTCTGTATAAATGTGATCTGATGAGATTTTCATTCTAACTTCATCGAACGGTCATCAGATGTGATCTTATTTCGGTGCTTTTTACTATTTCGGCTTTATCTAATAGACCTTTTAGTATTTTTTAAAGCTTTCTTTGTCTAGCCACCTGTACAGTGCACAGAATGGCAAAAAAGTCACACTAAAACTAATTACTTGATGACCCAAATGGGTCGGAGTTTGAACCCGCATATGATCATTCGATCTTTTCTTAATGCGATCACGGCAAAATAGATCAGAATTGCTGAAATATAAAAACCTAAAATTCACGGTTAAGACTCAGCTCAGCTTCACTTAGTTGGAGGATTCTTCGAACCATACACATTAGCTTTACTTAATAGTCTCATCAAGTAGACTGTTTATCAAACATATGAAGTGGCTTAATGAACATTTGGGATTCATTCACGTATCCTATCTTCCATGTGGATGGATAAATCTTTAGCGAAGTCTGAATTCATGATAAATGCGCAAAACTGGTTCCTATTTCCAGGACTTGATGAGATTCATACCTTGTCGGCGTTTCACAAATCAACATGAGCTCCAACTTTTTGGTTTATTTCACTCTCCTTTCTATCCCCACAAGGCGTTTGACATTAGAACCGAGAAAATGATTATCTGTACCCTCTAAGTACTCCTTCATGGGCTTTTTGCCATCTTTTCTGGCTCGGAAACTGAGCCTTAGGTTCAGCAGACTTTAGCCTAATTCTGAGTCTCTGTGACAAATGAGTAAAGAACTGGATTATGGACATATGCCTTTCTTTCTTTCGCTTCGAGCCTCATGTGTGGAGTGTAAATGCATGTATGGAATGCTATTTAGTGCCATTTAGCATTTTTGAAACCCTCGGGGCCTAGCGATTGGTTCAAGGATTCCTGACACTTGGAATGTATCTGTAGCAGATTTAGCTTCTTCGAAAATCTTGCATGCCTGCCTGTACAGCCATTGATTGTTTGCATTTTTCGTTGACTGTAGGGACTGCTATTCGATTTTACACATTCAGCATCTCACACCGTTTATTTTGTATGACATGAATAAAAAATAATATACGTTTGAAAGATTTTTGCTTACCTTACTGCATGTTTTTTTATACGAATTTGCCAGTTATTTTAAAGCTGCTATGAACACATGATAAGTTTGCTGGGCTTGATAATATAAGATGGTTGTTTGTTTGTCAAATATGGGTTATCTACTTGGTTTAATTATGAAAATGCAAAATTTGTAAACCATCAGTGACTGTGAGGTTAATTTGATAGAAGCATACGTCTCTTTGGTTGTTCTTGGAATCTTCTTCTTATTGTGCCATTATTACAGCTATTAAAGTATTCTATTTAGTAATTATTATATCATACTTTTTTTTGCCTACATAAACTAGCATATATAAAGCAAAGTTTCTTGTAGCTTATGTTAAAGTGTATTAATTAGTTGTTTGAAAAGTTTAAATTAGACTAGAACTTCTTCTCGATGTTGTCTATTGCTACTTTTGATGGTACTATTTTAGATAAGATATCGATGAAAATAAATATTAATTTAGAATCTGTGATACTTATTTTGACTTCATGTGATAAGGTCACATTTTAGTATGAATATTCTTAGAGCTTGGGATGAATTAATTATTTGTAATAATTTGGTTTACTAATGACTAGATTGGTAAGGTAGAAAAGGGATAAACAACTATCCACATTAGGGCATATGGGCTTAAGGTAGCGTTGTAGGTTGTTTGTTTGATTTAAACATGGTGTTTAAAGTATATATATTCGTTTAGGACTGCCACTTTTTTATAAAAAGTTATATATACATCAGTACAATGTAGCCATATATTAATTTTGGTACACGTATGCTGAAAAGTAACGAGTTGTTAGTTATGACATGTTAAGGATTTACCTTCGGACCGAATGGTTGCGGAAATTTTCCGCTCCACACGAAAGCAGCACATTGAGATAAGACCGGCTCTTGTCCCAGCGGTATAAAGGTGGTGGAAATGTCTATCCCAGTCTTGTTGGGAGAATGTGTTTTTTCGAGGGGACAGATACGCTAAATGAGAAGAAGACTTGTCACACTTGGACGTATAAGAGGGATTAAAGATTAATGTTGGGATTATGTGGCACAATAGTAAGTCGGCTTCCTGATGTTGTTGCATTTCACTTGGTCATGTGCCACGCCAGGCCTCTCCAAAATCACCTGTTCAACAATGGAATTAACAAGTTTTCGAAACTATTATTAGATCGTATATACGAGATATATTTACCCTATTTCGTAGTAGTAGTTGAATTTTCCCACAATCATATGTGTATTTTATTATATTATTGTTTATTATTGCTAACATGTCTGTTATATCATCGTATTCTTCAGCCTGGCTGAGAATAACTTTTGGGAGAAGAGACCACGTGAGCTGTTCCCCAATCAGATGATTCAGGCCTTGCCTCCCAGACGATTCTCTCATCCCCGCTGGTTACAGCTACGGTTCCAACTTCGACCACAGACACGATTCGATAAGGATTTTGACAATACAGACATGGAGCAGGGCAGACGAGACATTCAGAATATATGAGATGTATTCGCCACAATTCGTTGAAGGGGATGAAGTAGTAACATTTTCTGCACTGCCACGGTTCGACTCCCTCTGGGGGAGGAAAAGTCGGCTCTACTCACATGATTGTGGGCAAATTCTGCTACCAGTCCTTCATCCCCTTAAACGAAATAGAGTAAATACTTATGTGACGCTCAGAGTAAACCGAGTCACGCCCAATTCAATATTTACACTGGAGTGGTCAATAGGGCGAACGTCTATTTTCTAATGAAATCATGACGTTACTTGTTTTCTATATAAGTAGGTTGTTCTTTTTATTCAAGAATTATTGACAGCATCGAAATCTTCAAACATCGAAAATACTCATATTAGACGTGATCCCAACTAGCTCGAAGCCGGTTTTGTTCTTAACAAATGCAGCTTTTACTCCCCACATCACCTTTCGTTCACTCTGTCCTCAGGAGGACCAGAGCTCGGAGCTGCTGCTTGGACCGCGTTTTCACGAGGCCCGTCCCGACTCGACTCCCACCCGAGACGGTCCAGTCTCCCTCGCCCCGTCAGCCGGGACTGCCGTGATTGCCCGCGTTCCAAGTCACCTTTCCAGCTCGGAACCCCTCTTCCCGGGTCCCCCGACCCGCCAGGAGCCCATCTACCGGTCTTGGCGTCCACTGACGCCGGCTCGAAACCCGCCAGCGATGGCCGATACAGAAGCGGTTGCCATGGCTGCTAGCGGTGAAGAGGTTTTTGGCATCAACCTTGACTCAACATCGGTCCAGGCTAGCGCGCCACGGGAGACCGGCATCAGGAGAGGGGGCAAGAGCAGAAATTGCCCAAATTCCCACGGCTTCGGCAGCCTCGTCGTGATGCCAAGCGCTGGCCGGCGTGACGACACAGCCCGACACAGAAATGTGCATCTCGGTGGCTGGGAGCCGAGCGGCCGGAGGATAGACTCGGTTTCCAAGTGACCTGCCCGGCGCTCAAACTGGCCTTTTTGCCTGTACTTCCGTACCAGCCTAGCTGGTGTTGCCAGGGCGAAGAGGCGAAGAGACAACAAGGTTTCTCGCCTCGTCAGGCCTTGTTCTACGGCCGGACACAAGTTCCGAGGGTAAGTCTTGTATGCCGCCTCTCATTGGCAGTAGGCATTACTAAATGAGGCTTTAAGCGTGCCAACATAAAAAGCAGGAGTGAACATGTGAAAAAATAATCTTATTGGTTTTCGTGGGAAACGTATCACGTTTTCGTACGTCGTCTGACGGACATCATCACTAAACTCAAAAACCATCAGGATGGTTGCACAGCTATTTGTTGTCCCCCAAAGTGTCAGCATACAATGCAAATATAACTGCTACTCTAATCACAATATGAAGTAGATCCAGTTACTTAAAGAATTAATAAACCTGGCAGCATTTCTGAATATCCATTTTTAAACTATAATATAATTTTCGAATATATATATATAATTATATTATACTAGTAGTATGCTATATATACGTATATAAATAGGAATACTGTAATACACTCTAAACACAATATTAATTATATTTAATTACACACAGCAGCATTTATCAATATCGAGTATTTGCGTGTAATATAATTTTTGAATATACAAATATACTACTAGTTATATTTAGAGTAATGCCTGCATGTTTATTTGAATTACATTTATATTTGTATGTTCGTATATTCCTAAATTATATTTCAGGCCAATAGTCGATATCGATAAATGCTGCTGTAGCTAATTGAATATAATTAATATTGTGTTTTGATTACTATATATATATATCATCGACAGATAGCATCGACAGAAGTTTCATTCTGTATAAAAGTGCATGAAGAATAGCTTCGACCTCATCGGAGGACTAAGTCTTAGTTGCGTTGCTCAGTAGACATTTTGCTTTAATTCGACGTTAAAGTTGGAGCAGTTCGGGAGACATCCTCCCTCGATTCAGGTGAAGACGGACTGGAAAAAAAAGAAGAGAAAGCCAACTGGATAGCATTACTCTTTTTGTCTATTCTAAGCTGGCGTTGCCCTGGCAGCAAGTTCAGACCTTTGTGGGGTCAGGCCAAAGGATCTCTTTTTGCGGCCAGCGTGACGAACGTGCGTTTCTTTGTCAAATCTTGCTAATGGATTATAGCTTGAGACTGTTTTGATTATGCCGAAGTGAGAAATTATGCCGTTAGGACATTAGGCGATGCTAGAGCAGAGTCGTCTTCTCTTTATCTTTTGTATCTGCTTCAGTGTTAACCAAAAGTCCTGTTTAAGAAATGCTGTAGAGAATAATTGTTGTCATGCCGACTTGATGAGGCTGCAACATCTCAAAGAGCTACCAACAGCTCGAGGAACCTGGTGGTGAGCATCAAGAATGACCATGTCAATACACAAAAAGTTAAATAATTACATATTCCGGACTTGATCTCATAACTAGTCGCAACGCTTGAAGAATTTAATTCATCTTGAGTCCCAGTAATTTGTTGTTCTCGCCAACGAGCCTAGGTTAAACATGATTTGGTGGATAGAATGAGGGCGTATGTGCGATCTGGAGCATCGGGCTAGGCAAGTGCAATGATACATTTTATCGCATTTCGCTTTTCACCGAACTGGTCGAATGGATTCAAT